TGTTAATCTCTTATCTAGTCTTTTTGAAGGTTTTACTTAATAATATTTGGTATTTATAAAATTATAGCCTATTTTTTAAAAATTAACATTTCATATGACCATTGTTTTGCGATTACTTTTAAACTATTAATACAAGCCTAATGACTTGAAACTAGAATATTCATAAAATAATGTCTTATTTTTACTTTTGTAGTTCTTATGTGCCTATACATAACAAGAGATAATATTGGAATCGTGTCAAATTTCATCCCCCGATTTTTTTCAAATATAGGTTTTGAGATTTTTTGTCTAGTAAGTTACTGTATATAAATGACAGAATTCTTTTAAGTTTTTTATTATATTTTATATAATAAAATCTTTTCTGAGATACAGATGAAAATATAGACTACACGAGAATCTGCACACTCCTTAATTAACATTCTTTATTAACTTTTAATGCCTTTGCTCGATCTGCACCAGATTTTTTACATATTTTCTTGGGACATAGACGAATCTTTTACCAATACTTTTGTTTGTGAATTAACTTGGACCATCAGCGATGTTTAGAATGAGCTGCAATTTGTGCCACTGACATTTGTAAAATTTGATTACAATAAAAAACTTTCTATCTAAAGAGAATGTTCATCTCATTCCCAACGATTTCCTATGTTTGTTTGTTTATTTTTTTATGTTGCGGCAGTGAAACACTCGGCTAAGTGGATGCCTTTCGGGAAGTTTTTTAAGGTTAAATGGCTTTTATTCAGGCGTTACAGACGTAGAGAAAACCCGGAAATCTCCACGTGGCCGGCCCGTCCGGAGGAATGGAAACCCATGACCCAACTCCCAGGATTCGCTTGGCCAATAATGGACCCCGATGTTTACGCACCCTTGTCCCAAATATAGCAGTAACTTCAGACCCCATTAGCGGGACTGAAGATTTGAGGTTTCTTTTGTCTATTTATTTCAACTTAAGTAGTAACTGACGCACAGATTTGTGATCTAGATGGCCGGGATTCAATTTTCTGAAACAATCAAAAAAATATAAATTGCTGCGTTTAGTTTTAGCACGGTATAGTACTACATTACATAGAACTAAATAAAACAACAACAACTATCACACTTGGAAATTTGGAAAGTACAGTATAGTACTACATTAAATCGCTATATGAATCTTTAATATTGTGAAAAGGTTTGTAAATAAGTGTGAATCATACCAATCAACTGCATATTATTAAAAATTATATTTATGCCATAGATTTTCAATATTATTATAATAGAAAATACTTCACAATGACCGTTGTGAAATTAGTACATTTTCAATTAGAAAATTCTATATACGTAGATCTTGTATATGTTACTATAAGAAAATTATATTATTGTTTATTTTAAACTAGAATATTATTTAAATATACTTTTATTTACCTGAGACGAAGGCTGTTTTTCTACTGTCGAATGAATTATTCGCTTGTGTTTGTATAATTTCTCTTCTCGTGTAAATCTTCGAAAACAATTTTCACACTGAANGTGTGTCGGAAACAGTTTACTTGGATATCCAATTTGAAAACACACAAGTCAATACATTCAAACGAAAAGAAATTTAAATGCGAGGAATGTGGTTATGTTACAGGAGATGATCGAATTTTAAAAGACACAAAAATAAACACTCGAAAAAAGAACTTTATAAATGTAGCTATTGTAATCATTCAACTATATGGAAAGAAAGTTTACACGGTCATATTTTGTTAAAACATTCGAAAGAACCGAATTTCACTGAAAAAGTAAGTATTTATTGGCTAACTTTTATTTTCAAGTGTTCAGATTACTCGTGTTTGTTACACATTCTTGCGTTTTCTTTAATTTAAAAGCAACAGATAAAAAATTCTATTTTTTTGATTCTAATTCTTGCACTAATCTGTGTATACCTAAAGATATATTAGTAATGTTTCTCGATATTGTATTAGCCTTTGATGTTTTTTTAATAAAAATAGTAGTTTTTTAATATAATTTTGGCTTAGTGTCATATTTTCAAATGTTTTTTATATCGTTACACGGACATTTATCCCGATACCACAGAATTATCGATATTTAAAGCCAAGATCGGCCTGGATTATCAAAACTGGAAATAAAGCCGGTTGTCTCTGCTCAGTCTGTCGCCTTTTACTTGTCTTTACTACTGAGAAAGTACACCTGTCCCTGTTTTTGCATAGTGGCTACGTTCTAAAAAACTGTGTAAAAAAATTCGTATAAATATACAGTACATGCAACCCGCATGAAAATGCTCAACAGGATCCACAACTTTAATGAAACGAAAAATTAATCAAGTTACAAAATAAAGACGAGCTTTTTAAATCTAACGTCGTTTATCATTAATGTTATTTGTATGTATACAGATATGTAGTAAACACAAGATAGCGTATGAAGTAAAACCGATATACCGAATTCTGTGACTCGCATATAGTACTAAATCTTCAGTCCTACTAATGAGGTCTAAAGGTTCCGCTATACCTGGGACAATGATACATAAGATATCGGGTACCACCAGTGGCAATGCGATACCTGAGAATTCGGTCGTGGGTTCCTGCTTCGTCCGGACAAGCTGGCCACGTGACGATTTCCGGGTTATCTCTATGTCTGTAACAACTGAATAGAAGCCACTTACCCTTAAAAGACTTCTTGGAACACTTGAAAGGCATCCACCTGGCCAAGTGTTTCATTGCTGTAACTTTATCCATGGAAAATTATCGGTATCGGCAGTGTCGTGACGTCCCTGAAATTATCATATTCAACTAATTTTTATGCTATTCATCGACATTCTCTCATTGTTATAGTAGTTCTGCTATTAGTTCTCAATTCAATCTAAAAAGCATCGTACAATGGTATAAAAGGAATTGCGTAATTAAAAATATTTTTTGATTGTTTAGCAAATTACAAAAGAAAGTACGTGAAAATCTTTTAAAATCTCGGAACAGAGTGAGATGCACTCTTCTGCCGAAATCTCAGCAGCTAGTTCGACACAAGAGGAACATCTTAAAACATACGAGTAAGATATAACTTCGCAATTTTCTAAAAAATTATGGTAATGTCATCAATGTCGCTTTAATACAAACTCCGGAAAAGAATGGTTGCTACATAAACAGACACACGTTGACCAATCTCCTTGCACATCAAAGGTACTTAATTGTTGTATCTGTAATATAATCGAGACGGGTTGATAATAATGATAATAATAATAAGTGCAGAGCCCAAACGGTTAGGAGTTGGAAGCTGAAATTTGGTACACAGATAGGGTACGTCACGAAAACGCACACTAAGAAGGGATTTTTCGAAATTCCCTCCGGGGGAGAAAGACAGGATTAAGGCTTAACACTTCCATCAACAATGGAAATGTTAAGTTTTCTTCCTGTCTTACGTTTCATTTCACTCTTACTCTGTGAAAATGAGTAATGTTGACTGTAACGTAATAATCTTAATCTTAGTTATCGTTACTTTTGCCCGAGCAACGCCGGGCTCACCTGCTAGTTTTGTATAAAAGTTTTAGTACTTTGTAAATAATCATTCAGTTTAAGTTAGGAGAAGACAGCAGCACACTGCCCTTCTATACTATAATTTATTCGCTCACTGGGGCTGGTTTGCGAGTAAATTATAGTATACGGAAGCAAACTTGTAGTTTATAAAGTCGAGATTTTCACAATTTTATGAGTAAAATACATTGCAATACTGTATACTAGTGAAACCAGGTTGAGAAAGTATTTCGTTGAACGTTAGAATAATCGGGCTTTCTAACGCTTCGGTCATACTTCTTCGGGTTCTGTATGTAAATCAGCATCCCTGTAACCTCGGTAAGACTCCGTTCTCCAATTCTTTTGCGGAATGCCTGAGAAAGGTCGGCATTCAAGATTGTGTCCTGACTTTTTAGTTTGTCTAAGACAAATTTTAGAGTTGTGTCAGCAGTTGTATACAGAGAGCTTCTATGGCCAGTTTTATATTTTGATGGGCTTCCCATTACTTAAAGGCGTAGTACTAGCCGACCGCCAGCGATAGCGAGCGTGTCGGCATCAATATCTTCCGGACTGCCTGTTAAACACGCGATAAGCTTAGCGGAGAGAGCGACTCAACTCCCGATCATCGCTCGATCGCCGGAAAAAAGTATCAAAACTTTCTTATTTTTCGTCTCCGGTAAAATATCGATTGAGCCAAAATAAAAGGTTTTCTATTAGCTAGTGACGGTCATCTCCCGAAGGGATAGGTTTGGTTTCGTAGACAAGCCGCGAGGCTGCAGGCTCCCATAGGCTTAAACTGCATCTTAAATTTATGAGACATTAATAATTCTTGTGACAGTCACTAGTTTGCAGATTTGTGTGTGTTTCAGGAAATAAGTATGAAAACTTTGGTGTAGATCGAGTAAAGGATTTAAAAATTGATAAGTGAAAAACGTCAGGGGAAGGGCTAGTCAGTTGGTTTACGCCGTACTTCTTATCTTCCTCTGTGTCTCAGAAAATAAATATAATATAAAAATATAATAAAAAGGTAATAACAAGAAGAAGCTAACATTCTGTCATCTGTATACAGTACTAGACAAAAAAGTCACGACGATACACAAATGAAATGTTAATATTTAAAAAATAGGTTGTAAATACCCAATATTTTAAAATAAAACCTTCAAAAAGACTACAAAAGAGGTAGATAAATCTCGAAAGAACTATGAAAAATACACAATCTTTCTAGATTTTCCGGTAGCTTTCTATGAGCAAAATCTCTCTCGTCGTAAATCTAATGAAAAAATTCTAAATTTGCGATTGTCTAGATACAGAACCTTCCAACGAACTTATTCAAAATTTAAGACTACCGTAGTCTTCACCGCGGACATTAAATATTTTATATTACATTCGAATCGTTTCGATTTAGATGTTGGTCTTGGAGATATTAATGGTCAAATTTGGCACTTTAAGTTTAGAAGTGTTGCTAAGCTCTACAATACCGAGGTTATAAATATTACACAATTGAATGAGAATTCATTAACAATGATTCCTATTTACTGTAAACCACAAAGTAGATTTGTGACTGAAGAAGTGGTGAGTTCCCATTTGTGAATGATACATTGAATTTTGTTTACATTTCAAACTTGACATTTGTTCCAAAGAAATTTTTTTATTTACTTTCGTATAAAAATTGAATTCAAATAATAGTTTAAATATTCGTTGTTGCAGGAACAGGAAGAAACAGATCCAGAAGTGGTCAGAGCATCCGAAATTCTCATGGACATGAGAAACAAAAAGATTGGAGACGGTAAAAAATAAAAAAAAAGCTCTCATCCCCATACACCGCCAAGTTCACAATAACATGCGAATATTTTGTTTTGAAAAAAAAAACAATAAATCCTGTTTGTTTTTTTTCGAAATTGCAAAAAGATATTTTTAAAATGAAATATTTTATGCGAAATTCATAAAACTGGTTTCTAAATTTTAATTTTTGAAGAATTAAACTAGTTTCTTGACAGGGTGTTTATTGTCTTAATAATTAATAATTGTAATTAAACGTGTATTAAACAATTAATTACTTTCTCGGCTCTGTTATATACATAACAGAGGAAAAGTATGGCGATAAGTCAAAAAATGATCCTATTATTTATACATTTTTGGACTGAGGACACCTTGTAATGTCGAGAAATGCAAAGAAATTTCGGGGTAATTTGTGTATGAATAGATTTTATTGTGTGTGTGTGTGTGTGAGGGGGGGCACAGTTTTGTTCACCCTGTTTGAAACTTAATATCTCGTGTGCTTTTCGTCGAAAATTTCTCAAATTTTGCAGGGTAATTTGTGTATTAGGGAAATTAATGCTATTAAATTTTGTTGGTTATAGGACTAGGGGTGGAAAGATGAACTGGAATTCCGTCTAATTTCTAGAAGGGCTGGATACAATGACTATTTTTCTCCTTATTAGCATATAGAACTTATTTTTTAGAAAATCCATCGGCACTATCGAAACTTTCTGGACAGCATTTAAATTGTGTGTAGCGCCTCTGTTAAAATATTTTATTTTAAAAATATTTTTATATTTTTAATTATTATAAAATGGCAAAAATTGAATTTTAAAAGTAGACAGGAATTTTATAACAAATTGTAAATACCGATGACGAGTAAAATTCTCAATAAGTCTGACCGTATTCCAGTGACGAAACACAGATTTTCTTTTATCTCACCACTCCTCTACCTCTAACTAACAAAAGTAAATGCAGTCAACCCCCAATACAGAAACTTTACTGTGAAATTTTAGTAATTTTCGGCAAAAAGTATCGGAATTATTAAACTTTAAATAGCCCGAATAGAATCGTTTCACGCACAAACAATCATATTTATTGAAAAACTTTTAAATATTTTAAGTTCTCGAAAGTCTAAATATGGAGCAAACGTTTTTTACCATTCGACAAAATATGTTACACGGTTAAAACTTAATCTTTTATTATTCAATCGTCAAATTTATAATTTGAAATGAGTTAACTGATTTTCGCTTTCGGAATTAGAAAAAAAAAACCTTTCGTAGCAAGTATAAGAACGATTTACCAAATTTACTTTTTCAGTTTGCGCAAATATATTCACTTAATAAATGAAAACACTTTACTTTGTGAAATGTTAAATAGAATCAGAATAGCCCTTAATATTTTACACTTCTAATTAAGTCACTAATCTCTTGCCGTGTATAAACAGACGGAATAGTGCAGAACACTTCTAAGGGCAATCCGACCGAAACTCGCATATTACTTTCAAATCCAGCAAAATTGTTCATTTACTGTATTTTAATACAATAAATTCATTCCCATCATGTAAAAACCATTCGAGCTATATACCATTCTTCCAAACATTCTACTTAGTCGCCAAGAAAATTATTGTTTTCGAGTGGGTTGATTGATACGTAATAAGCTAATCTCCACTACAAACAAATACAGACATTGCGAGTGTGTTCGTACAATTACCAAGAAACATCACAGTTACGTAAAGCAGTAACTCCAGCAGACTCAAATAATACACCATTAAATTTACATTCGCAACGTATGGACACGACACGACACAACATATAAATAGCAAGACACCATTCGTGGGTACGAAAGGCACTCCTTGGCAGACATCCCTAAAACCTGGCCCAAGATTTTGTTGACAAAACTGCGTCAAACAGCTGGTTAGCACGGGAAGGCCTCTTTGGGGAGACGGTAGGATTCGTGATTGCCATACAGGATCAGGTCATAAATACTAAAAACTACAGAAAACACATGCTCAAAGATCAACAATCACAAATGACACATGCGGAAAATGTCACATCGTGCCAGAAACCATACAACGCATCACTTCTGGTTGCAGCCTCTTGGCCACAGAAAGATAATTCAGATAGACATAATCAAGTAGCAAATACATCTAGAGCTTGCAAACAAACACAAATTATTAGACATCCACGAACTATACAGTAGATCCCCCTATAAAACCGTTTCCTATAGTTATGATTCCTATAAAAATTGTGGCAGTATCCGTAAACAACGGTAAAAATAACTCCTATAATACGTAAAACGTCATCGGGCAGCNGAGACGGGTCATAAACACTAAAAACTACAGAAAACACATACTCAAAGATCTACAATCACAAATGACACATGCAGAAAATGTCACATCGTGCCTGAAACCATACAACGCATCACTTCTAGTTGCAACCTCTTGGCACAGACAGATAATTTAGATAGACATAATCAAGTAGCAAATACATCTAGAGCTTGCAAACAAACACAAATTATTAGACATCCACGAACTATACTATGAATACGTTCAACAGACAATATTGGAAAACTACACGCACAAAATGTTCTACAACAGCCAAAATCACAGATAAAAGAATTTACCACAACAGACCAGACATCACACTCACTGACGAACACAATAAAATCACATACATTATTGTCACGTCTGTTCCAAACACTCACAATGTACAAAATACATGCAGTGAAAAAAATCAGCGAGTACGCAGAACTCGCCCATGAAATAAGGTATCGTGGAGGATGGATAGGGTGTTTATTGTACAGTACCTGTCGTTCTCTCCACTACAGTTGTCATACCACACACAATACACAAAAGCCTGAAAACATTAGAAGTGAATAGAAACACATACATTACACTACAGAAAGCCACTATATTGAATACATGACATATTGTTAGAAAATTCCTGAATACAGATACACATTGACATACTTATTTAATTTTTGTTTTAATTTGAAGTTACTGTGCCTTGACTCTGGTACACGGCCATCGGTGTCAACCGAATGTAACTCACAAAACTCAACATAATAATAATAGGTTTATGGCATTACAAAATTCTATTAATAGCATCATTTCATACGTTTTCGAAGGGAATAACATTTTGGTGTGCCATATTGAGTCATGTCGAGTCATAGATGTGCCGAGAGTAGAAAAACGTTGCCGAACACTGATCTACAAGATCGATTCGGACGGTTACGTCAAAATCCACGTGCAGAGAACTAAAGGTGAGGATTTCGCTTTCCCCGGACGGGGTCGGCCGTCGCCGGTCTATTAAACAGAGAGGAACTGCTTTCAGATTGTCCGGAACCTGTCAACCTCCTGGCCATCGTTCTGGGAGTGATCGGAGGAATCGTGGCCGTGGGTCTGGCCCTGCTGCTGATCTGGAAGTTGCTGACCACCATCCACGACAGGAGGGAGTTCGCCAAGTTCGAGAAGGAGAGGCAAATGGCCAAGTGGGACACGGTGAGTTTATCTCTTCTTTGGGTCGGGACGTATCTGGTTCCCCAATGACGAGTGCGCTCTTTCTTTTTCAGGGAGAGAATCCGATCTACAAACAGGCCACCTCCACCTTCAAGAATCCCACTTACGGAGGCAAGCAGTGAGCCCCAACCGTCAGGCGTCTAGTTTAGAACCACTATAACCCTTTTCTTTTGGCTAATTTGCGTCTGTTCTAACCGGGTTTCGGTCGGTCCCCGTCTAAAGATCTGATAATCCTCGTTTTTAACCTTTTCGTTTTAATTTATGTCACGCGTGGGTCNGTATAAGAATTTAACTCGAATTTTACAGTAGCAATAATAATAATAATAATTATAATAATATTAAAATAGTACAGTACCTTTCTTCAAATCAAATTTATACTGTGTGATCAAACCATTTAAAAAATTTTTTGTAATTTTAATTTTGTGATCAAAGCTGCCCAAACCACTATTAATGACATTTAATACAAATTAGCAAATATTTTATCAATTAACAAATAATTTAACCTTGTTTATTTCTTTCTTTTTTTAATTTTCCAACTAATAAAATTTAAAAGAACTTCTAAATAAATTTTATTTTAAAAAATAAACAACTTTAATCCTCTTTCAACAATTAAAACATTACATTCACTTATAATTTACATACAGTTTACTATCAAATCATTAATAACACATACACTTTTTATTAAGTGTATGTGTTAATACATGAAATAACCTAAATTATTTCATGTATTAGGCAATGATTTAGAAAAAAAGTTATGTGAAATGTGGGAGTTAGTTATTTTATGAGTCATACTAATGGAAATCTGCCCGGGGGGAGGGCGTGTCTAGCCTGCGGAGGTGTTGGTGACTTTTTTTGCTGAGCTGTTGTGGCGACGTTAGACATGGAATTTTTACAACAGAATATTAAGTGTAGAACTGAAATAAGTAGTTCAAATGTTTCATTAACTCGAATAATAATTTTTATGTTACTAATGATTGCTGGCATTGAGTTAAATCCCGGATCTTTTCCTCGATCTCCTCCAATATCAAGTCAAGCAGTTATGCAAAAAAAGGGACGAGGGAGACCACGTAAAGAGCATACAAGAGATATAAAAGAAAATACTCAGACAAGCGAAATGTCAGGAGAGGAATACTTATTTGAGGAACATTCCAAGAACACTACAGATATCTCGAGGTATGCTACAATAGAAGACTTTTACGAACCGGAAGAAGATTTACCAACAAAGACTATTGAACCTGAATACTCAATTAAATCGGTCTATGAATTAATCCAAGACAAATATACAATATATAACAGATTATGCTATTGCGGTCATAATAAAATTAGATAATAAAATAGAAATGAGATGGTCTTATACATACTTGGGAGTAATAGGAATATATATACCATCTTCTATAGAGAAGAAACCAATTCTAAATGAAATGCAAAAAATTTTGGATAGATGGTCTAACCTCACTCAAATGTGGATAATAGGAGGTGATCTAAATGCACGTATTGGCGAAGTTACTGATACCATATTCTGTCAGACATTTGAAAACTTAGTAAATAAGAGATTATCTAAAGATAAAGTGTTAAACACAGGAGGAAAAATACTTCTAGATTTTATTAATAATAACCAACTAATAATTCTAAATGGTAGGATGAGGGGTGATACCCCTGCAAAAATTACTTTTGTTTCCCCAAGTGGGAAATCCATAGTGGATTACATAATTTGTTCAGAAGAAATGATAAACTGTTGTAATTATTTAAACGTTCTGGAGAACGACCTTGCAGATCATTTTCCAATTCAGTTGGAGTTAATAACATATCAAAAAATAAGTAATAAGACATACAATTGTGAACAGAATTATTCTATTAATCTGGAATTAAGACCGTCATATAATAAACGAAAATTGTTAAATGAGTTTGATGATATTATTGGGGAGATGTTATCCTTGGAAAAAGAAAAGGATCCAATAGAAAATTATCTGAATATTATAACTAAACTAGAGGAATATAGGTACAAGAATTGTACACAACAAAATAGAAAAATATTTAAATGTGAATGGTATAATAGCACGTGTTATGACTACAAAAATAAAAAAAAAAGCTTACAAATCTTTAGAAGAACAAACACCAGTAAAGCATTAATGAATTATCTAAAGTGTAAAAGAATGTATAACAATTTAATCAAAGCTAAGAAAAAATTATTCCTTTCAAAAATCAGTAAGAAATTATCTGAAGCTAAAGATTCGAGAGTCTTCTGGAAAATAATTAACAATTTTCGTAAAAGAAAGTCATGATGGGATACACAGACTAGAGTTGAATACAATGTTTGGCTTGAATACTATAATAAATTCTCAGAAAATTATCAGAAAAATGTTTGTAAAAAATATATGGGAACCAAGACAAGACCAGAAATTCAACAGGACGAGATAATTAAGGTAGAAGAACTACAGGACTGTATCAAAAAACTTAGACAAATCAACACCGGGTTCAGACACAATACCTAACTCACTCATCAAAATGTTACCAACAGAAATTATTCGATATTTAACTAGACAATTTAACCTATTTTTTATAGTAATAGTATAATACCAGTCAAATGGAACGAAATTATTTTTATTATGATATTTAAACAAGGGAATAAACAGGAACCAACAATTACAGACCAATAGCCCTTCTGTCTTGTCTACGGAAAGTATTTACTACAATATTAGCTAAGAAATTTAATTACTGGACAGCGGCGAATAATTATAGAAATAATACGCAATTTGCATTTGTAGAAGGAGGTGGTACTCAAACAGCCCTCTTTGTGTTACTGTCACTAATTCAAAGTCAGTTGCTTAAAAAAAAGACATAAAGTGTTCGCTTTGTTTTTGGATCTTGAAAAAGTATACGATATGATTAGCATTACTGACCTACAGAGTAAAATGAAGAGATGCGAGGCAAAAGAACTTTTGATAAATATCATAGGGTTGCTGTTCGGAAAATATAAGACAATTATTAAACAGGATACTAATATCTGGACACCATTCATTACCAACAGAGGTCTACTACAAGGTGATCCGTTATCCCCATATCTTTTCAATTTCTACTTATTTGATCTAAATGATTGTTTTAAAAAAGATGAGGATGGGTTCCAAATTAAAAACCACATTATACATACTATATCGTATGCTGATGACATTGTGTTGATAGCTCATACAGCAGCTGCACTCCGTAGAAAAATCCAACAACTCTGTGAGTATTTAGAAAAGCAAAGAGTTAAAATAAATTCCAAAAAATCAACAATTATGATATTTAGAAACGGAAGTAACGTATCTAAAAAGCACGTGTCTTTTTTCATTAATAATGAAGAAGTGAAGATAATTATAAATGACAAATATATAGATTACACTCAATCTAAATGTCCAAATTGCACCAAAAATTTATCTAAAATTCATATTTTATGTGAAATTTGCGACGAAAAGGATGAACTATAAAGGCTCCAGATTGGGACGCTAGCTAAATGTACTAGTGAGCTAGAAATGCACAAGACATTAGATAGAGCTGATGTTAACACAATTTATAAGTTGTATAATTATGTTAAACAACTAATTAAATAATAATTATGTTAAATTATTAATATAATTGTATAAACTGATAAATAGAAAATATTAACATTGTTAAAAAATTATTAAATGAGATGTTAATATGCGTTAATTCAAAATTAAAACGACCTTGTAACAGGCGAAAGCCTTCTACGCCAATAAAGATTACTTACTTACTTACTTAATAAAATTATTTAATACCAAACGTCTGCCATTTTATTCCTTCAAGGGGGAAAGGGAAGAGCTTCTGTCGTTTATAGCCAATGTTGTGGATGGGAACCCGGTTACCGCGTTTTCTCCCCTATTTTATTTATTTTCCAAAATATGCATTTCCACTCTGCGATTAGTTCGGTTATATCTTAGTAACAGGAGAAATATTGAAATCCTCGACATCCTTTAATAATAAGNTCCCATGTAATTAGTATATTAGTATATCGCTATTAACCTACTTCGCGTTGAATTTTCATCGATGTTAAGCCTAACAAAAATTTTTTTAAATAATAATCGTCGCTATTGTATCGTTAAAAATTAGAAAATTAAGCCTCGTTTAAATACTGGCTCCCTTTCATGGTCGAATGAGTGTTGCCAGCTAAATCACGTAAAAATAATATTGAAGTAGCCAAGACATCGCCAAATATTGTAGCGCCACATCACTAGCGGACATTTGAAATTTGCCGACTAGGACGGTCGGTTAACCGAGGTGTCGGTTAATCGGGGGTCGGATAATCGAGGCTCTACTGTATATGATATTGGGAAAAACTGACTTTTAAAAAACTTTTTTTTAATCTATTTTTTGTTGAAATGTACTGTACATTAAAGTAAAACCTTATTATATTGATTCGGTATATTGTTATAATATCAATAAAATTCAGTAGCAGCAATATCGAGCTCTGCCTCATTATGCCTGGGTAGTTAGAAATTGGCTAAACAACGCATTTCTGCAATATTGCACTGACTGTCATGGATATATCCGACACGGCCCTCTCCGTCTTCCTCGGTCGTCGAGTGGGGCGACGGCTCCCCGACGGCCTCGGCGCCCGGCAAGCGGGGGGCGGGAGAAATTCCCCGCCCGCCGCCGCCTCTGGCGCGACGCGTGGCGGACGGCGCGTCGCCTTTTGTACAGGAAGAACGGCGGTCCCAAGGGCCGACTTTTGTAAAACCGGAAATCGTCTTCCGCTTTTGTTATTGTCCGAAACCAAATCGTTTGTTTAATAAAATTATTTAATACCAAACGTCTGCCATTTTATTCCTTCAAGGGGGAAAGGGAAGAGCTTCTGTCGTTTATAGCCAATGTTGTGGATGGGAACCCGGTTACCGCGTTTTCTCCCCTATTTTATTTATTTTCCAAAATATGCATTTCCACTCTGCGATTAGTTCGGTTATATCTTAGTAACAGGAGAAATATTGAAATCCTCGACATCCTTTAATAATAAGGAAAGTTTTTAACTCACTAAAATATTTTCGTATTAGTTCTCCAAGTACACATAATTATTGTAACATAGACGAATCGATATAAATCGGATAGATTTTAATAAACGATACAATCAAATTTCATACTTAATTTGTTATTTGCACGCAATGTTTGTAGTAATATCGATGGAAACGCTTGTTTCAGTTCAGATCGAACAGAATCAATACGTAACCAATACTAAGTGCTGCGCTTAAATGAAATTCTCTACTGCTTAGTCTTATATAATAA